CTCCTACACCCTTAAAAGGGCCTGCTTAAAATGCAGCCAACTCTTCTGGAATCCTTGGCTATTTGATTCTTCTGCGGGATCTTACAAGGACAATAGCTGTTTAACGACTTCATTTATAGTTACTGACTTTATTTTTTTGGGAAAAAACGGTGCTCTGACCATGGGGTAGGCATTACCCAGATCCCTCTCCAGCTTGACCCACTGTACCTTGCATTTAATAGTCATTAGATAAATGGAGTAACAGTACTAAGAAATTTTCTATACCACTGCATGCAAGAGCTCAGATTAGAATCCAGGGACTCCTCCTATCCAGAAGAGCATTTATCTCCCTGAGGCCACACACCTTCAACCTTCCGCTTTTTCTCTTGACTCCATATATCTCCCTCTTTTGGCTGCCCAGAGAAGGTAGAAAAAGGACTGGGATATTAATCTAAGGTTTGATAGTTAAAATATTTCACTAGGAAGTGGAATATGCAAGAGCGAGCCCCTTCTGGATGAGGCAGGGATGACTAGAAACGGGATCTCCTGCTTCCTAAATTATTAGGGGGCTCCCAGATGTTCCTTAATGGTACAATGAAATGTAAACCCCAATCCCAATAATTGCACCTTCTGTCATTCCATACCTGTATGCTGGGGATATCTAAAACCCAGCTGTTTATACATTTTTAAAGGATCTGCACAGGGACCTCTGAGAGAGAAGAGTTGCTACCTGTAGGAAAACTGGGTGTGCAGGTAGGTTGCACATGCCATTTTGAAAGGTCCCATTGCAGAAGGATATTGGGATCAGATAGCCTCTCCCAAGTACCAGCATGCCTATCTTCTGGAGATACCTAAATTCCATCTGCACACACAGTTTTCAATGGTTTCAGTAGACTGGGATCCCAGGATCAGGGATAGGTTCCATGATCTAAGGGTCCCTGTACACCATGGCTGTGAGAAAACCACATGTGCACCTGGGCTGTACATAGTTTTGAAAGGTCCTGGTGGACAGGAACCCTGGAAACAGGGAACTTCTCTCCAGTACTGGGGTATCAGTTCTTATGTGCTTTGCCTTGTGGAGGCTGTGGAGCAAAGCAGGAAAGGCTGCTGGGTTCAGGGTTGGCTAATTTTTGGTAGGTCTGCTCCCTAGCCCTGCCTATGCTTTGCAACCCATTCCCTCGGTAGCCGATTTTCCTGGTATGGATGCCAACCCCTGTCCCTTACAAGCAGCATCAGCACAGATGTACTATATGTTCAAATTATGGCACCATTCCATGAGCACAAGGAATATCTTTGTAGCTGGTTTGCCACTTTATGATGCCATAAATCAGCTGCAGGTATAGACCTGTTACTATTCATGGTCCAATTAACATGTTAATTGCACCTTAAATGTAATGTGTGCCAAGGTCCTCAGACGGAAACATGGGAGAGTCCTCCACCTAATTCTAACCCGCTTGTGACAGTGCTTGCCTGACTAACATTTCAGGATTTATTCAACCTTATGTGCAGTAAAACTAAGAAATACTGTCGCACAGCAAACCTGCCTGGCAAGAACACAGGGTTTTATTAAGCGTGTTCAACAGACATTTGCTGGCTTGTGTACCACAGGCTTCAATCACAATGTCAGGGCCGAATCACAATGTTAAGGGCCAAAAACTGCAGTTATGTGGCTGTGTACCTGCCTGTCAGGTAGGTGGATAAAGTGAAATAGGATGTAGCCCTTGGGGCCATTCATTAGAGAGCTTTTTTTGGAGGCCTGGAGGACTAGCTGATACGTGCTCCACTACCTGGGTTGCAGTTGTGTTAATGACTTCCAGAAAAGAAAAAAATATGCTGAGAATTTAAGTGAAATCACCTCTACAATGGACTCTTCAAAAACTATGGAAGGGTCACCAACCAGCTCATGGAAAATGGTGTGGAGCTTAAAGCAATGATCCTCATCCAGGCTATGCTGTGGATTGACCATGGCTAGAAATAGACATGGCCAAATGAAGCAGATAAGCTGTGCTTGGATATGTCCTAGCACACCTGAACCACTTCACTGGGTGAAACACGTGTTGTCCATCATCCCATCCATTGATGCTGCAGGACAATAGTCATGGGGGTCCTGGTCCTGTGTATTCTGGGAATTCCCATATAGGATCATGCCTCTCAAACCCTGGGAACATCTGCTCAGCTTTCCCAGCTTACTGAGATATGTCCTGGAGATCGTGTTTGGGTAAGCAGGGAAATCCTGACTTTCCCTACTTATGCAGATATGCCTTGGAGATTGCAGCAAACTGATCCTACACAGGAATTCTGAAGGGTGCACAGGATTGGGCCCCTCAAGCCCCCGTCACCTCTGGGGTGGCTAGAGAATGCAGAAAGCCCTGAGCTGCCCCAGCTAACTTGCCATAAAGCAAATAGACATCTGCTACAATAAAACAGCACAAAAAAAATATCACTACCTTCTGTTGCAGCCACAAATTTGGGTATTTGTGGCATGACAAAAGGTGAGGTCTGTTTGCTTTTGCTTTATGCCACTGTGACAGAGCAGTAAGCCTACCCTGTCATGAAACACCAAAAGAACAAAGGAAAAAGTGAAACTTACCACAGCAGCGAGCCCAGACTGGAGAAAAGCCGCGCTCAAGTTCCTGGATGGTAATTAAAGCAATCAGCTGTGAGAGCCAGCAAAGCAGATAATGGGATGCTGCAGCTGGGCACACAGCTGATCAGCGCAGGAATTTAAAAGAGCTGATTGAGCAGTCGGCTCTCCTCGGGTGATGGGAATAGCATGGAGGAAGGCACGTGGAACAGAGTGGTGGTAGCGGCACGTGACTGACCAAAGGGACTCAGGAGTGTATTCTGAAGAAGTACTTACCTATGGAGCCAGGAAGACAAGGTCATTCTACACCACCTGAGGACATCAGTATACCACCCACACACCAATGGTCTGGTTAAGAGATTTAATTGGATGTTGAAAGCCACGATTAGGAAAAGTATTCAAGGGAACACTAAGAGGTGGGAACTGTATTTCCCCCTCTTATATTTGTGATTTGGGAAGTACCGCAATTGTCCTTTGGCCATTCCCCATTCGAATTGATTTACGGGCATAAGTATCGGAGAATCCTTGACATTGTATGTGAGGGTTGGAAGGCAAATGAGCCCATGAGTGATAACAGTCCTCATCAAATTATAAAGCTATGAGAGTGACTAGAGCGGGTGAGACAGACAGCCCAAGGCAATTTAGAGAGAAGTCAATCTGGTCAGAAACAAAGGTATGATCAGGGCACTTAAAATAGAGAATTACAGGAAGGTGACTTAGCCCTGGTTATGTTACCGGATAATACCAGTAAACTAGTATCCAAATGGCAGGGTCCTTTTAGGATACATAGGAAAATAGGTCCCACAAATTATGAGGTAGTCCAGCCTGGGCAGTGGAAGACCAAACAGATCTATTATTTAAATCTGTTAAAAAAAAAGGGAGGAGCACAAAAATTATCTGATGTACCCCAGGGCTGTAGAAGAGGAATGGGTTCCAGAGAGCAAGGACCCCCATGCAGGGTATAACTCCATCCCTGTTATTGGGATTTAAGTACCCAAAGGAGGGAGGAAACAACTGGAACAACTGGTGAGAGAATTTAAAGACATATTTACCGAGGTGCCAAAGGAATTTGCCACCGGATTAGAACTAGTCTAGGTCAAGTGGTGAGAGAACATTGGAGGAGGCTACCCCAGGCCTTATATGTCCCTGTGCAAAAGGAATTAGAACAAATGGTAGCCTGGGGCATTATAGAGGAATCACAGAGCCCATGGAGAGGCCCCCTTGTTATAGTGCCAAAACCAGATGGGGCCATTCAACTTTGTGTCGATTTTAGGAAAGTGAACACAATCTCCTTGTTCGATACATTCCCAATGCCAAACATCAAAGAACTGTTAGAAAGAATAGGGAAAGCCAAGTTTGTCTCAACTCTAGATTTAACAAAGGGCTACTGGCAAATTCCCATGGCCCCAGAAGACAAAGTAAAAATGGCATTCAGAACTTCTTGGGGCCTATACCAGTTCACACGCATGCCTTTTGGTCTACACGGGGCAGCTGCCTCGTTCCAATGGCTAATGAACAAGATAATGCTAGCTCACCAAGAATATACCGCAGTGTATTTTGATGATACAGTAATTTTTTCAGGGACATGGGAGCAACATATCCACCATGTGAAACAGATATTGGAAGAACTAAGACAAAATGCGCTAATAGCCAGTCTGAAAAATGTGCCCTAGGGCAGACTGAGACCAAATATCTGGGCTTTAAGGTGGGATGCAGCAAAATCTCTTCACTTGCCGATAAAGTAGAGGCCTTCTAGTCTTATTGACAACCACAGACAAAGAAACAGCTAGAGGGCTTTCTGGTATTAGAAAATTATTATTGGAAATTTATACCGTGGTTCTCAGAATTGATGGGTCCATTGACAGGCCTGTTGCGAGGTAGAAAAGGAAGACAGGTGGAATGAATGCCAGAAACCCAGGCAGCATTCATGAAAATGAAGTCAGCATTATGCCATGCTCCTGTGTTGCATACCCCTGATTTTAAACAAACATTTTGATTACACATAGACACCTTGGCCATTGCCTTAGGGGCTGTTTTAACCCAGTGAGTAGAAGGGGAAGAGTGGCCGATCACATTTGTGAGCAGGAAGTTATCAAGGGCTGAGACTCAGTATTCAACAGTAGAGAGAGAATGCTTAGCTATAAAATAGGGAATTGAGTTGTTTCATTACTGTTTATATGGGAAAAGGTTTACTTTGATCATGGACTATGAACCACTTCACTGGCTACCAACATTTAAAACAGAGAATTCCAGACCTGTGCAATGGGCTTTGACCCAAGTTTAAACCCTTTAGTTTCTCTATAGACCACCAATCTAGATGACTAAACATTGCAGCTGACTTCCTGTCAAGGGTGCAAACTGACAGATAACTGGAGATGACCAACATGGAGAAGGCCAATGACGGTGACAGTAAAGATGAAGTTATGACTCCATAAGATGGGTTTTCACTAGGGCAGGAGGTGTGTGACAGGGCAGTAAGCCTACTCTATCACGAAGCACCAAAAGAACAAAGGAGAAAGCTAAACTTACTACGGCGGTGAGCCCAGATGGTAGAAAAACTGTGCTCAAGTTCCTGGATGGTAATTAAAGCAATCAGCTGTGACAGCTGGCAAAGCAGCGAATGGGACACTGCAGCCAGGCACACAGCTGATCAGTGCAAGAATTTAAAAGAGAGTTGACTGAGCAGTCAGCTCTCCTCAGGGGAAGGGAATGGCATGTAGGAAGGCACTTGGGAGCACAGAGCGATGGTAGCGGCGTGTGACCAACCAAAGGGACTCAGGAGTGTATTCTGAAGAAGTACTTACCCATGGAGCCAGGAAGACTAGGTCATTGGAGCATCCAAACTGGTGAGTCCGATCCAGTGGGGGCGGGACTCCATTCCGGAGACCTGAAGGAGGGAAAAGAAGAGACCGAGCACGAACATGAGTTTGGGGCATTGGCCCAATATAATTCCACCCTAAAGAATAAGGGTAGGGACAAGCTGTATGACAGTCTAGTTGGGACCCATATGGGGAAGAATGGGGCAAGTGACCGAGAACAAGAAACCGGCTGCCTAGAGGTCAGTCAAGGCAACCAAGAGACTGAGACTCCCGCAGTGGGGACCTAATGAGATTAATGTGGAAACGCTTGGTGTGGTAAGGACAGGGTATGGGGGTGGTAGAGCCCTATGAAGAGGAGCCAGCCTTCTAAATTGCAGACTCAACATCAACTTTCTATAGCAGGATTGTGTCCATCTTTGGTTCCTTCCTGTTCTATCTCAGTCATGGCAGGCAAGTTTAAAGCAGACTACCTGGTTCAACGAGACAGGCTGCAATTTTACTTTGATGGCACAGCTAGTCTTCCACAGCTACCATAACCATTTTAATGGTGAGGAAAGGCAATATCTGCTTTCATACTACACAGCTATGAGCAAAATCACTTCAAGCTTCAGGTGTAGAGTTTACTTCTCTGTAAAATGAAGAACATAATTCCATGCAAAGAATTGCCAGTGCCTTCTCTTGCTCCGCTTAGGAAAAAAACAGCTGCTATCTTCAGCCAAATCATTCATTCTTCTGACTTGTGAAGTTGACCTGGTAGCCATTCATAGCTCTTGATCAACCTTTTTTAAATCCATAGATCTCAAAATGCTTAGAAAATATGAGCAAGCATGAGTTGCACCATTTTACAGACAACAGATCAGACCCACACCTGGTATAAATGGATGTCCATGCTACTAGGGCTGTTTATTAGGCCTGTGCAAAGCGGTTAGTATTCACTTTGGATTCAAATTCAGCCAGTTCAGGGGACAGTGATTCGATTCAGTAATTCGAATCACTGTCCAGAATCAATTCAGCCAAATTTGCTTCAGAGATTCAGCCACTGCTGGACTGGCCAAATCTCTGAATTGGACAGACTTCATCCCCCACCCACTCTCCCATCCCCATCAATGGCTGCCCTGCCCAGCCCCAGCTCCCAGCTCTTTAAAAAAAAAGCCCCGGTATCACTGGCTGCTGCCAGGCAGGGGGCCAATCCCCACTGCCCCACGCTGTGGTGGGGGGGGCTCTGTCATGAACCCCCATCCTGAACCACTCTCCCAGCCCCAGCTCCTGGCTCTTTAAAAAAACCCCAAAAAACAAACCCACTCACCAGCTGCTTCCTGGTGGAAGGGTGAACCCCACTGCCCCATGCTGCACCATGTTGGTTGGGGAAGGCTTTGCCAAGAGCCCCTGGCACCTACCCACTCTCCCAGCCCCCCGCCCCATGGCTGCCCTGCCTGCCCCATCTCCCTGCAGCAATGAGTGGGGACTGCCTGAATCTCCAAAGCTCTCTGAATCTTTTTCAGAGTGATCCAGAGAGCTTCAAATTGAGTTGGACCTTTTTATTGGTCTCCTGATTCGATTCGGATTTGGAGATTCAGCCGCCAAATTGGGCCAGATCTCCAAACTGAATCAGCACCTGAAACTTCGCACAGCCCTACTGGTTACAGCAGCTGAGGTTCTAAACAGCCATAACATCTAGGTCTGAATTAAAGGGACTGAGGTCTAATGGAAAATGGTCAGATCCAAGCTCTCTTACATACTTCCTTTGTAACCTCAAGCAAGTCACAATGTTTTAACTGCTGGAAGTACCCTTTGACAAGTGGAATCAGAACTTTTGGCAGAGGTGGTATCTTTTATTAGACCAACCAGATAGTTGCAAGAAAATGTCTTTTTTGCATGCTTTTGGGCACACATCATTCCTCAGGCATAGGAGAATGCAAAGATTGTAAAAGAAGGAAACAAAATTCAACACCTTGAAACCTGAAATCTGACATCCCTGCTCCAGCCTTTGTTTCAAGCCGAATCTACGTGCTCAAAGAGCAGCCTCAACATGAGAGAAATTGCTTGCCCAGGAGAGCCTTCCATCACCCATCTTCCTGTGAAATATGAAACATCACAACAAGAAAGAAGCATAATTCAACATCCTGCTTATCATCAGACAACTGTGAGGTAAACAGACTGCTCCAACTTTTATCTGAGCCAAATTTGCATAAAATGAACTTTTCCAATGAGGAGATCTTACACCACCTTTCAGCTCTCCTGAAAAATACATATTTTCATTTCCATCTGGGAGAAATTTTACAATCTTTGCACTCTCCTATGCCTGAAGAAGGGTGCATGTGCCTGAAAGCTTGCAAATAAAGACATTTTTTTGCAACTATCTAGTTGGTCTAATAAAAGATATCACCTTTACCAAGAGTTCTGATTGCATTTGCCTGAGTTCTGATTGCTTTTGCCTGTAAACCAACATGGCTACAACCCGTATCTCTGTCAAGTGGGTGGGATATTTGTCTGTCTCCAAATGACTGGTGTGAAAACTTTACAAGCACAGAAGATATAAATCATTCACTGAAAGAGGCAACTGGGAAAAGAACTCAGGGTCTTCTGGCACTCAGTCCCATGTTCATTCTGATGGACAGCATGAACTCTTGTAGGATTTGCAAGAACAATTTATTCACTGGGAATGGCACATTCCACAAGTATTTAGAAAGGACTTCTGGCTGTTCACATTGACTCAGGTGACTACAGAATCAGTGCTGGAACCTGGCTGTTCCTACGATGACAGTGGCACTTACCATAGCTCAGAATGGGCATTTTTGCACATGTTCTGGGAGCAGGGGGAAGGGAGGCCACTTCAATTAGATCAGTTCTGACAGCTGCCCTAATTAAAGCACCTCAGTGTCTCATGTATCAGCATTCCTGCACTTCAAAATGAGCTTTAGTAAATGAGCTTTAGTTAAAGTGCTCCCACCGTCATTTTGAAGCATGGGGATGCTGATATACAAGACATGGAGGCTGGTCAGAGCATGCTAATTAGCACGCTCCAGCAGACTTGATTAATCAAGTCTGCTCTGATGTACGGTAATTACAGTATGTTGGAGCCTGGCTACAAGCACCCATAGTTGTTAAAACAATATGGTATTAATGTTTTGGTAATGGTTCCTAACTTGGTAAAAACACAAGTCAATTCCCATGAAATCTCTAAAGCAGGAATCTCCCATGAAAACTCTGCCAATGCCAGATTTCAGCTGTTTACCTCCAGTCTTTTTAGCACTCAAGTCTGTTAACCCCCCAAAATTTTTCATATCTGTAATTATTAGATATTAACTATTTTCCTTTCTTTTTTAACTGTTGAACCATTTTTGCTCACATTTTGTCAGAATAATTTGTTTTGTGACACAGGCCAGCTTTAGAAAATTCTAGTCCCAAAGACAAAACATTTGGACAATTAAATTAACTGAAAACAGTGGTGTCAAGTATAGAAAGATTTATTTATAACTGTATGCAATGCTTGATGTCTTCTTCCACTAAACATTCATTGATAGGTACCTACCAAATTCACAATTACATGATTTTTGTGTAAACCATGAATTTGGTAGGCCCCTATGAAAAAGCCCAATCCCTGCCAAAAAGCACAGAGACTGCAAAAAAGCAGAAAAATGGCCAACTAGTGTGAGGGGGGCGGGAGGAAGCTGCAAGGTGGGAAAAGGTGGGAAGTCCTGGTGTCCTGAAGCACGGTGGGGGGGCAGTAAGAGGGAGAGGGGGAGGAGATTTTCGTAGCAGAGCTCAGCGGCCCACCCCCACACCTCTGATTGGCAAAGGGGCCCTGGAAGTCTTGGCAGGACTTCTGGGGCCCCTCAGCCAGTCAGAGGTGGGGGGGAGCACTACGCTTTGCCATGGAAGTGGCAACCAGCGATGCACCCAGACTGTGAAATCCAGAGACAGCCACTTCAAATTAGATAGGTCCCAATTCATCTCACCCTAGGGCAGTTGTACATAACACATTTAATCCTTGTTAATTTAATGAGCTTTAAAAATTTTAACCTGGGTTATTTTGGTGCGTTGTGTCTGTGTTTTCACACCACAGTTTTTCAAATGAATTAAGCCCTGTGTGTAATTCCTCTCAGATTCAAGCAGCCGGAGCCAAATACCAATCTACACCCAGTAATGTGTTTCCTAATGAATTACAGCAGGAGACGCATGTTTGCTGGTAAACTTGCCTCCACAGTCCCTTCCCCCCACCCCCCGCCAGGAATCTCATGCTAAGCTGCCCCCACCCTTCATGCCAGGCCGCGGTGACCCCAAAACCCTGCCACTTGCACCTGCCTAGGCTCAGTCCAGTCTCCCAGTAGGAGACCCCGTGGTGATCCCAATACCAAGCCATGTGAATCATTCCCTCTCCTCCCTTTTCCTTCCCCCCATGTTACAAAGTAATGAAAATGTATATATGACATTTTTCTAAACTGTGTATATCATATCAGAAATATACAGGGGTAAGAGTAGTGCGTGCCTCCCTGGGTGGTTGGTGATTGTGGCTGATGATGGTGGTGAGGTGGACTGGTGTGGGTTTTTCATGTTTCGCATTGTGTTGCCAAAGCAGATGTGTACCATGAACTCTTATTAAAAATGAAGGGTGTACTAATATTATGGTGGGGGGGGCGAAGGGGTGGGTGGTGCCAAATCTGACAGCTGTTAGTTTTCTGGCTTTTAGGACTACATTTCTCTGCATTCCCAAGCTGCCTGGGCTTGGAACAGTTTCCATGGGGATGCCTCAAAGGGGGTGCTTCCCCCACTCCCCTTCCCTGCCCACATGACACCGTGAATACCTGCCACCTTGTCTGTTTGTTTAGCATGAAATACAGCTTGTGGAGGGGTGTTGTGCGATAGTGTTGAAATGGTGGGTTGTCAGCAGAGTGAAATATTGGGGTGGCATATTGACGCTCCCGCTGCCACCCCC